TGAGATCCTGCCCCACCACAGCTTTTGCATAAGAATGGCCTGGTACTTTGAAAACTAAACTTATCTAACAAACTGCAACTGAGTCAGTGAGACCCAGAACATCCAAAAGAAGGCCCAAGGCCCCTCGGCAGCTTGCATTGCTTCACAGCTGGGCCTCATCTGGGCACCTCCAAAACCCAAACAAAGAAATCTGCACATCTCTCCGTAGCTCCTGCTGGGCGGTCTCAGGCAGAGGCTAAATTAGCACCTCCTTGGAGATCCAAGAGCCAGTGTACCCAGTGGTCAGAGTAGACCATCCAGATTACATCTCCTCACAAGGGACACACTCAGGGGGCAGACTCAGTGAGCACTAAACCTCCACTGAAGCAAGTCTTTCCCCATAAGTGTGTCTCTAGCACAGGAGTTCTCCCATGGTAGACACAGTTGGCCTGAAGGTCAATTCCTCCCAGTGATATTAACAACAATCAAAGACTTAACTACAAGACTGTGCACACAGTCCACAAAGGGGTGCTCCAAAAGTGTCCACTTCAGGTAACTGGGGAAGCTGAGCCACTGGGCCCTATAGGACACCTAGCACACAAAGCCACTCTATCAACTCAGGGAAGCAGCCAAAATGCAAAGACAAAGAATGAGGACACAAATGAAAGCAATGGAGGAGAACAAACAACTGGATATAGAGTTCAAAACCATGGTTATAAGGTTTTTCAAGAATTTTCTAGAAAAGGCCGATAAATTTAGTAAGACCCTCGAGGATAAGGAAAAGGACCAACTAGAAATTAAGCATACACTGACTGAAGTAAAAAACAATGTACAAAGATCCAACAGCAGACTAGAGGATCACAAGAATCAAGTCAAAGATTTGAAATACAAAGAAGCAAAAAGCACCCAACAGGAAAAGCATAAAGAAAAAAAGAATCCAAAAATATAAAGATAGTGTAAGGAGCCTCTGGGACAACTTCAAGCATACCAATATCCAAATTTTTGGGGTTCCAGAAGAAGAAAGAGAACAAAATATTGAAAACCTATTTGAAGAAATAATGACAGAAAACGTCCCCACCTGGTGAAAGAAACAGACTTACAAGTCCAGGAAGCCCACAGAACCCCAAACAAAAGGAATCCAAAGAGGACCACATCAAGACAAATCATAATTGAAATGCCAAAAGCAAAAGACAAAGAGAAAATATTAGAAGCAGCAAGAGAAAAGCAGTTAGTTACCTACAAGGGAGCACCCATACGATTGTCAACTGATTTCTCAACAGAAACTATACAGGCCAGACGAGAGTGGCAAGAAATATTCAAAGTGATGAACAGCAAGATCCTACAACCAAGATTACGCTATCCAGCAAAGCTATCATTCAGAAATGGAGATCAGATAAAGAGCTTCACAGATAAGAAAAAGCTAAAGGAGTTCATCACCACCAAACCAGTATTATAAGAAGAGGTAAGAAGAAGTAAAAGATAAAGATAAAAATTATGAACAAATACATATCTATCAACAAGTGAATCTAAAAATCAAGTAAATAAAAAAGCTGATGAACAGAATAAACTGGTGAATATATTAGAATCAGGGGCATAGGAAGGGAGTGGACTAACAATTCTCGGGAGGAAAGGGGTATGGAGGGTGTGGGAACAGACTGGGCAAAAATTGTACACCTATGGATGAAGACAGTGAGAGGGGGGTTAAGGGCAGAGAGTGGGGTGGGAACCGGGTTGAGGGGAGCTATGGGGGGTAAAAAAGAGGAACAATTGTAATAATCTGAATAAAGATTCATTGAAATGGAAAAAAAAAAAGATAATGATGAAGGATTTTATAAAGAAATGTCCACTGCACAGTTCAATGTTTACAATAATGAAAACTTAGAAATAACCTCTATGTCCAAAATTGAGACTCGTCACTAGGAATTATGAGCACCTTTTAAAAATAAGCAGACAAATATTTAACATGAGAAAACAGTCCCATTATGTTAAGCATGTTATAAAACATTATGTATACAATGATGTCATGAATACTTTTTAAGTATTTTTATATTTGTGTAAAGAGGGGAGGAATGCAAATATATACAGTAATTTTAACACTGGTTATCTTTAGATGTGGCAGTACACAATTTTTATTTTTTCTTACAATTCTCTATTTTCTGCTCTATTCATGCAACAAACACAAACTGTACAATATTCCTTTAAAATTAAAACTCCTTTGATAATAAGAACAACTTCTTGGGGGATTTTCTATAGCTAATTATGATGTATATGCAACTGAAATAACTGATAAAGTAACCACGATATTCAGTACCTCTTTTTCTTTAAAAAATCTTGGGATAGTTTAAAATGATGGCAAACAAGCAAATACATCTACCAAAATCAGACAGTCTGTTACAAATAAGTCTAAACAAACCCCTGGAACAAAGTACCTTGAAACTTTTAACTATACAAAAACTAATCTACAATTCAAGAGATCAGATGTTGAAGGAGGGTGCGGGTAGAAGAGGGAATGGGGTATAAATGGCCAATGGGGGAAATTAAATAAATAAGATGTGAAGGGAAATAAAATGAAATCATTGGGAAACTGCTGCACTTTATCTAAGAGCAACGCCATCTTCTAGGAAACAGTCCTGTTCCTTCACACCACAGGTGAGAACAAGCTGGAAGCCCAAGTTGGGTCCATACAAACTCCTTTTTCAGGGTAACTTCATAAAAATCAGAGTGACAAACCATTTATGAGGTTTCTGACGTGCTGTTTTATTTTTATTATCTGTAATGTAATTAGGAGTTTTAAGTGTGTCTTACAACTGACCCTTGATAGAATGCTAACAAAATCTGCCTGTATTTTAAATTTAATGAAAGAGATATTTACTCTTTAAAAACAGCACAAAATAAAACATAATTTCCCTTTACCTTAAAAAAATAATGCTATCAACTAAACTTCAAGCTCATCAATCAATTACAAATGTTTACTGAAGGTCTACTATGTGCCCAGCACTGTTGTAGATACTTGGGATATGTCAGTGAACAAACTTTTCTAATACATCTATAAAAACACTCTCAATTATAGAAAAGTAAGGATGAGGATTTTTTTTTAACACAACTTTTTTTTTTTAAGGCAATGCTTTACAAGACTTACACTGAAGTTATCTGATTATAATCTTAATGTGCAAACCGGGTTTCAAATGTACTATATAAACAAAACTCATTAGTTTGAAGAGGAAAATAAAATTCCACAAGAAAAGTAAAGAAAAAGCAAAAATTGCTACCAGCAAAGCATATCATCACAGCCCAACAGGGAAATGCAATGATAAAATGACATGGTCTTTGGAATCTCCATTCTAAACCTTCTCCCACATCTGTGCAAGGTTTCCTCGCAGACATCAAATACTCCCAACAATAAAATGTCTCAGTTTACAATCATTCATAAAAACAATATTTCCATCTCTATGAATGTCTACGTATCTGATTTCAAACAACAGATAAGCTTCCCTTACAGCCTTCCCTCATAGAGGGAATGACTTCTAGCTTTTCCCCTAAGAAACCTACAATAAAAGACTGGACAGAAAACCACTATGGATCCATCTTACATAACAGGTTCCGTCAGAGATGCTTTCACACACTGTTAGCTGGGAGCTCAATATTTCACTCAGTTCTCAGATAAGGAAACAAAGGCCAAGAGTGTGGTAGCGCAGAGAAGCCAGAGGAGCACAAGATTTAACCTGTTAACCGAGTGGGACCTATAAATACGTCAAACATAAACACTGTCGGGAACAAGTAGGACATATGAATACGTCCTTGAAATATATGTTGCGCCCTGAGAGGGACGGTATATATTTTTTGTAATCTTTTTTTTAAAATATATTTTATTGATTTTCTTACAGAGAGGAAGGGGGAGAGAGAGCTACAAACATCGATGAGAGAGAAACATCAACCAGCTGCCTCCTGCACATCCCCCACCAGGGATGTGCCCTCAACCAATGTACATGCCCTTGGCCGGAATCAAACCTGGGACCTTTCAGTCCGCAGACCGACGCTCTACCGCTGAGCCAAACCGGCTTCGGCTGTAATCTTTATAATTGTTTGTAAAATTTATAATTTTTTAATTCGATGTTTCCATTTTTTTGTTGGTATTCTTTTCTATTTATTTGTAATTTTGTATTTTACTTTGTGCTTTAAATATAAATAAACGAAAATATATATATTTCATTTATTTTAATTAAGTATAAATTTAAAAAATAATAATATAAAATTACGTCCGCTGGGTGTGACGTACTGACACATCCTAGTGAAAGAGTAAGCGCCCGTTGTACGTTGCGAAATTAAAAAGGGAATTCTCCGGTTAACAGTTAAGCACAGGACTAACTAGAGCCACATCAGTCTGTAATTTTGAAATAAGTGCCCAGCTGGATTTCTGGACCTAAAGCACTACCCCAAGATGAAGGCAAATCACATGTTAAAATAAGATGAAAAGGAGAAGTTTCCAGAGAGCATCCCCTGAAAGGCCGTAGATAATGCAGTGACAAAACCTTCAGCGACACGGAAAAGACACACACCGCCCAGCGTCCTCCCCAAGACACAGGTTGGCGTGTCTCTGATCTAACCATCAACTGTTAGAGGGAAAAACACCTAATTCGTGGAAGAAAAGAAACACACGGAGGAGTGAGGCTGGAAGAGGGCTGGGACCCGTGTTACTGCTGCCCGGCGGTGCCTCGCCCCCTTCCAGGCACTCTGCAGCGCTGACCCAGGCCCGGCTGCGGGTCGCCGGCGGAACCCTAGCAGCAGGTACAGCCGAGGCAAGTGCCAAGGAATCAGGTCGCGCCCGTAACAAGCAGCTGTCGAAAATGTGTCACCTGCACCCCAAGCTACTGGACCCATTTTTTCCTCACCGCAAAGAGGGCCAACTTTAGAGTCGGTCCAGCGGCTCCTCCCCGCCCGGGGGCCGAGCTCACACCCCGGGGCGCCGCTCGCTGGCCCCCCGGGCTCCCGAGCCCCGCCGCCGCCCGCGCCCCGCAGCTCACCTCCAGGCGCAGGGAGGCCCCGCAGCCTCGCAGAAACTCGCGGATGTTGCTCAGACACTCGCTCTCGCTGCGCGGATCCGGGTAGACCTGCAACACAGAGCACAGCCGCTGAGCACGGACGCCGAGCACCGCGGGGGGCCGCACCGCGCCCCCAGGTCACCCCGCCGCGGCCCCGGAGGCAGGGAGGTTCCCCCGAGGCGGGAGAACCCGGCGGCCCAGAGCGCCCCCGGCCGCCCCCACCGCACGCTCGCTCGCTCGCTCGCCCGGCCAGCCGCCGCCTCTCCGCACCCTCTTTCCTTCCTCCGGGATGCACCAATCTCGGGCCCCTTCCCTCACCAGGAACTGGAGCGAGCGCCGGAAGTGACGTATTCAGGCCGCGCCCCGCACGGCCCCCCGCGCGCCCGCTTCCGGTCCTCAGTCTGGCCGCCCACCTGGCCCCACGCGAGACCGCCTCTTCTCGCTGTCGGGTCCTCATCCTCGGACCCGGCCCACCTGGCCCGGCCCACGAGCGCCCTCCTCCTCCTCCCGGCACCTGGTCCTCATCCTCAGACCGGCCCACCTGGCCCGGCCCACGAGCGCCCTCCTCCTCCTCCCGGCACCTGGTGCTCCACTTCAGACACGGCCCCCTTGGGCACGGACTGCCCGGTCCAGGGGAACGCGGGGGAACCCGGCCTCGGTGGCTTGAGCAACCCCGAAGGGGCTGTAAAGAACCCAGTGTTTCTTCAGTTCTTCCCCACCGTGAGCTCAGGGGAGGGTGGAGTTAGCATTTTAATACGATGGTTTAAAATAATTAGCAACATAAATTATGCATATTGGGATTACAGTGCAACGTTTCTTTTCCCAAATACAGAGCCTGTGCTTCATGAATGATTAACGAAAATAGCCGATTACACAGTCAGCGAGTAAGTCAGCTGGAGGGAAATAGTGGCCCATGTGGCCTCCACCACAGGTGAAGAGCAGGAGGGCGGCTCCGCAGACTGCCTGGTGCTTGGTCCTAGGTAGAAGTGTGGGGGCCACTGGTCACACAAGTAAATAATTATGGACAGCCTCCCAAGGTCAGAAACATGAAGGAAACCAGGAACAGTACCAGTTACAAGGAAAATCGAGGGAAAAGCCAGAGACATCAGAAGAGCTTTTTGCTGTATATGAAGACTGTTTTGGCAGTTACACCAAATCATCATCCAGATTTCTAGCATTTTTAGGACATTCAGGCTTTTTTGTACTGTTCTCTAGGGAGAAATTAGGACATTCCATCAGGTCTCTCGAATACTGTGGTTTCATTTCAAAGTGCTCAGGTCTTTTAGAATTACAAATCAAAACAAAATCAGCATGTTGAGAGGTGTGAAGAGGGAGGAAATGTAACTTTTCTTCCCCTATAATTTAAAAATTTAAAGAAAGTGCCAACATATTTCCCTCCAAATTTTAACAGATTTGGGTTGGGTTTTTTTTTGTCGACAGTAGAGTAGAACATAAAAACCAAAGCTTCCTCCTAGTTCATTTTGCTCCTCTCCCTAAAAAAAAAAAAAATTTGAAAATCTATGTTCCAAGTGTGTAGTTAACATATAAAGTATTCATGTTAAATAGTTGCAAAGTATTAGGTTATGACATCCTATGCATGGGGCGGGGGTCCCTCGGCCCAGCCTGCACCCTCTCACAGTCCAGGATCCCTCTGGTGATGTCAGACATCCCTCCAGACCCCGGCTCCTTACCACCTGCCTGCAGCGGAGGCAGGAGAGGCTCCCATCACTACCACTCACTGCACTTAGCAGCCCTGAGCCTGGCTTCTGGCTGAGCAGCGCTCCCCCTGTGGAGGCACACTGACCTGCATTGAGCGTCTGCCCCCTGGTGGTCAGTGCCTGTCATAATGACCAATTCTGCTGTATAGTCAATTTGCATATTAGGCTTTTATTATATGGGAAAAGGATGACTCTCAATACAAGATATAATACCCATCTTCCATCTAGAAAAAAATTATGAACATGCTCTTCTTTAAAAGTCAGAAATTTCACCTTAATTTATTTCTCCTTTAATTTATTGCCTTCCCACTTGATCCACAAAATTGTATTCTAAAATTATATATATTTGTGCTTGAAAATGTTACTGATAACACTTTTTGCAAGAGACCCATATAAATACAGTTGGTCCTCATTCACTGATTCTATTTTCAAATTTGTCTACTAGATAAAATGCATGTGTAACCCCAAAATCAGTATTTGCCACACTTTCTCAGTCATTATGAACATGTACATAGAAGTGGAAACTTTGAATTGCTTTATGCACACATCTCCAGATAAACATGTACCAAGGCCATGCACTGCACCATCTTGCTTTAGCTCAGAATATAAGAAAATGTCCTTTCACTAGTGTTACATTTTTGTTGACTTCATCATTTTAAATGGCCCCCAAGAGTAGCAGTATTAAAGCACTGCCTAGGGTTCCTAAGCACAAGAATCTGTAATGTATCTTACAGAGAAAATATGTGTTAGATAAGCTTCATTCAGACCTGAATTATAATACTGTTGGCCATGAATTCAATGTTAAGAAATCAACAAAACAATATATCCATTAAAAAAAAAAAAAGATTTGCAAATCTATGCATGCGGCTGTTCCAGAAAGTGCTAAAGTAACAAGTGTGTGATACAGCAATGGAAAAGCAACTAAATTTGTGGATTTCTGAGATGACAACCAATAAAAAGAGTGTAGTAGACAGCTTTGTTATGAGGCTACAGGCCAAAGAAAATTACAGTCATGTTACCCCGGGTGAAGAAATATCAAACCTTTTTCAGCTAGTGCAGGCTGGCTTGCAGGTTTCAAAAGGTGATAGGTACCACATGGAAAAATGTTAAATTTGCAGGCAAAGCAGATCCTACAGATCTGGATGCTGCAGAAGAATTTTTAAAAATATCTGCTAAGCATTATACATGAAAAGGGCTATATGGAAGAGCAGGTTTTCAATGCTGAGGATACAGACTTGTTCTACAAGAATGTTGGCAAATGGACCTATGCAATGCAAATGGCTTCCAAACCCTCTGGCTTTAAATCATGCAAAGACCCGTGCAACCTTGCTATTGTGTGCCAATGTCAAGGTGACTTCAAGTGCAAACAAATAATGGTACACAGAGCACAAAACCCAATAGCACTTAGAGGAGAAAAACCTGAACCTTATGCCAGTCCCCATTGGAGGTGGAACAAAAAAGCATGGGTAGAGACCGGAATTTTCTGGAATTGGTTCCACAACTGCTTCATCTCAAGCTGAATGCTATCTCCATGGCAAAAACCTTGCCTTCAGGGTTTTGTTCATTTTGGATAATGTTCCATTCCATTGTCACTTAAAAACTCAAAAATGCCCACCCTGACACAGAAGTTCTCTTCATGTCCCCCTAAATACTGCATTTCTCATCCAACCTCTCAGCACAAAAAATAGCATTCAGCATTTGTTTTATAGCAAGGAATTATAGATGCAGCTCACACCCAGAGAAGCAAGAGTAGGAACCCCAAGCTTCTTCCCAGGGAACTACACTCAACATCTCAGCAACATGCTGCCGTACCTATGAACTGTGTGCGCGTTTGTGCTTTATTCTGATTTAATGCATCCATTAGCAAGATGTGTGCTAAGGTTGTGGCTTTTTCACTTGATGCACTACAGCTGACGAAAGGTTTCAGAGGAATGCTCTACACTCCGATAGCAGAGGAAACCTGTATGTTGAAATGAAAGGAGTTTTATGATGTAACTTGATTCTTTGAAGCCTTCAGAGTTGCACAGCCAAAGTCCACATATAATCTATCATAAATACATTTTAAAGCCATCAGTTAACAGTTTGATTAGTAGTAGAAATCCCTGAGTAGAAATAGAAATCCCTGAGCTGCAATTCCAAGCATTAGTTATTCAATTCTAATAAACTAGGCCAGTGGCCACTGTCTTTGCACACAACATGCCACGGTTGCCTAATCCTCATAGCTTCCAACTACACGGTAACATTTAGTCTAGTCCAGTGGTCAGCAAACTCATTAGTCAACAGAGCGGCAAACTGTGGCTCACAAACCACAGGTGGTTCGCGAGCCGAGGTTTGCCGGCCACTGAACTAGGCTTTTCCATCAAGAACTCTAATCAGAGACAGTCCGAAAATTATTGTAATTTTCCTTTCAAATACAGCTTTTGTATTAAATATTTTATAAAGGGTGTGTCTGATGTTCAGAATTTGCTACAAAACTAAGTCCTGAAGCGATATTAAGGTCAGACTTCAGCGACCACCACAGCTGTTCAATTTCCTCTCCTCTCTAATACCCACACCACACTGAGAACCAGCTCCACCCTCAGTCCACACAAAGCGCCAACTAAGGCAGCTGCATTCTCTCTGACTCTGAAAGTGTTCAGAGAGTCTTAAGTGTAGAGAGAAAAAGTGCATGAGAAAAGAGAATAGGCAGTTCTCTGTGGTAACAAGTTCAGTGTTACCACAACTCAGATCGAGAGTATAGAAAACCTAGACAGTTTATACTATCTGGGAAACACTTAACTCCCAGGACCCTAGTTCTCACAGATTCTGATTGAATAGGTCTAAAATACATCCCAGCCAAAACTGGTTTTGCTCAGTGGATAGAGCGTTGGCCTGCAGATTGAAAGGTCCCAGGTTTGATTCCCATCAAGGGCATGTGGGCACATCCCCAGTCGGGGGTGTGCAAAAGGCAGCTGATCAATGATTCTCTCTTATTGATGTTTCTAACTCTCTATCCCTCTCTCTTCTTCTCTGTAAAAAATCAATAAAATATATTTTAAATAAATAAATAAATAAATAAATAAATAAATAAAATATAGCCCATAAGTCGTGTGTGTGTGTGTGTGTGTGTGTGTGTGTGTGTTTGTGTGTTTGAAATTCTCCATCTGACTGATTTGCAGCTGATTTGGAACCACTGATGCATTATAACAGTTATTTCTCAAATGGACACATGCATCAGAATCACCTGGAGTAACAGACTACTAGGACCTCTCACAGAGTTTAAGTTTGGGGTGGAACCCAAGAATTTGGATTTCTGACAAGGTCCCAAAGATGCTGATGGTACCAGGACCATATTTAGGGAAGTAGTGGTAT